TTTTCTTAAACTGTTGTGGGAGATTGTAGCTTAAATACCACGATAATTTTTCTGTTGGGAGGATCACTATAATTATTTATGTGCTTTAGCCTTTGATGAGAAGGAAAGTAGGAAGAAGAGAAGAGGTAGGTGAGTGGCAGGTCCCAGAGGGCCTTACTTGCCAACTGCTTCAGAGCACAGGGCAGTTCAGAACAACTTCCTAGGGAAGTTGTGCGTGGATGCTAATGCTGAGCCAGGACCAAGAGTTGGTGGAGGCATAGCCAAGACTGTCTACTGTTATATTTTCTCTGACACTACTTGCTGGACCAGAGCTGAGCGCTTTCACAGCACTCTGCTGATGGAAGGGGTTGCACAGACACTCACTTTGGACAGTGTAGCTCCCTAGCTGTTAGTTCCCGATGCCAGAAATCCTCCTGTGAGTCACTCAGGACCCAGAGTTTACATATTCTGGACTTGACTAAGATTCTGTAGTGCTGCTCTTCCTCCTTGTAAAGTTAGAAGCAAAATATGAGCCAGGTGAGGTGTAGTAGCTTGTAGCAAGGATGGTAGCAAGAAAGAAATTTCTCTTATTTCCTCCATTGTGAACAAGAGACACATGCATGCAGATTTCTAAATGGAGTGCACAGACCTTCAGGGACTGTAGCTCATTTCCATCATGGACAGCAGGTCTTTGAGGGCAAGTCTATGAGTGCCTGGAAGACCAGTAGGTCTCCACAAAAACCTGGAAGCTACTTCAGTCTTGGTTCAGCAAGGTGGAATCATTCTGTAAGGAAAGTTTTGTAGAGAGCCTTCCCTTTGCAAGTGTGAGTACAAATAGTGAGCCATCTCTTCAGCATTGATTTTGCTGTTTCCAGTTTTCTGGGTGCAAAGGGGAGGAATGGACTGTACATCCACATGAGATGATCTCAAGCCACCAAAGTCCCTTTGCTGAAATCCCAAAGCAGCAGCACATGCTATGGAATGGCTGCAAACCTTGAGAAAAGTCTTTCCTTGTATTTATCTTAAGCTTCCTGGGAGAATGACTGTTCTGCAAATCAATACCTAATTTTCAGCATGGGGTGAGAGAGGGAAGCTCTTTCTGCTGTGGTTACACTGGTGCAATATGGAATGATGACACCTGCCACAATTGTGCAGCCTAGCCAGGTTTTGGGGGGCATTTGTAGCCCTCAGGAAAACTAGTATCCTTCCTAGCTAAGCTCCTTGTCCCCCACTGCAAGTAACTTTGCCACATTAGCAGATCCCCACTGAATGAATGCTCTGTGATAAAATGGCTAGAGGTGAGATCCCGAGCAGCTTTCATCCTCTCCTGAGCTAACACTGTCCCCCAGCACTGCCTGCAGCTCTCCTCTCCTCTCCTCTCCTCTCCTCTCCTCTCCTCTCCTCTCCTCTCCTCTCCTCTTCTTGTTTCATTCATTCTCCTCTCCTCTCCTCTCAGCAGGCTATAATTTTGTACCTCCTTCTGGAGAATGTCAGGGCTGGACCAGGTGCTACACAGTTTTTTGACAAATTATTAGATGTAGGCAGTGAATAGATGTTTCATCTGTACTATCATGCTGGCAAAAAGACAATGGGACTAAGGAAAATGATGAAAGAAATCAGAAATTAGTCTATGGTTTAGGTGTGTTCTTTTTCTTCTGTGCAAGGTTAGCACTGATTTCTGTCACTTGAACACTGATTCAAGGCATGTCCATACCTTCCTTAGGGCAGCGGAATTTGGTGTTACTATTGAATCTTATTCACCCTCTGCTTTGCCTGCACGCAGGGCAGAGAACACAACGTTCCTCCCTGGGGCTTTACTGACCGCTGGCCTGGCAGAGCAGGTGGAAAATGATTGTGCCACACTTTCATGCCAGTGTCCCAACAGGTGTTGGCTTTTCCAAGCAAGCCTAAGTGGATTCTTTCTGGCCTGGCTTATTAGTTGTGGAGTTCTGGGATTCTTGCTCAGGAGCAAATGCTCTTCTTCCTTGCTGGGCATGGGGCACAGGCAAGGGACTGCAGCAAGGGTGAAAACATGCCTGCTGCTGTTGCAGGGCTGCTGCAGAGAGCTGTGAACAGCCCTATACACAGTGCTGCTGCAAGACACTGATTCTGTCGCTGGCACTGCAGGGCCTAGAGCAGGAGCAGCCCGGCTGTGCCTGAAGAGCACCTCTCCCATTGCACACATGTGTGTGCTAACAGTAGCAGCGGCTGCTTCCCAAGCTCTCAGGACCACTGGGATTGCTTGCTCCTGGGAATCCTCCATATGGTAGGAGGAAGGTCTACAAAAAGCAAGGCTCCACCTTCAGGGTGATAAGTAAATGGTAAAAATTCCCAGGAGCAAGGGCACGCACTTTAAAAACGCTGTGATATACAGCCTAGGACTCTTGGCCACATGCTGCAGAAATAGGAAATCCCAGGTCTGACCAGGAAACAGAGACCATCTGTCAGAGTGGGGACAGTTCCTTCCCCACACCTGCATGGACTTCTGTTGTGTTTGCAGGGAAAGCGACAACTGCACCTG